AGTCCCGGTTCTAGGCCGTAAAGCATGGCACACTGAACTATCGAGTAGTCATCAGCTTTGCTTTGCCAGACATTCATAACATCTGGTTCAGCTCCTGCAGCAGGTCTGGCACCTAGCGGTGCTTCCAGGACGTAATTCTTCTATGCAGCAATGAGGACAATCCTCAAGTTTTGGACCCAGTCTGTGTAATTGCTACCATCATCTTTCAACTTTGCTTTCTCAAGGAATGCATTAAAATTCAACGGAACAACAGCACGGGCCATCTATCTACAACAACATAGACATGCAAAATACTATCAGGTACTAATTTCATGATAAATTAAAGTTCAGTTAATCAAATTATTAAAGAACTCCCACTTAGATAGACATCCCTCTAATCATTTAAGTGATCACGTGATCCATATCAACTAAACCATGCCCGATCATCACGTGAGATGGAGTAGTTTTCAATGGTGAACATCACTATGTTGATCATATCTAATATATGATTCATGCTCGACCTTTCGGTCTCAGTGTTCCGAGGCCATATCTGCATATGTTAGGCTCGTCAAGTTTAACATGAGTATTCTGCATGTGCAAAACTGGCTTGCACCCGTTGTATGTGAACATAGAGCTTATCACACCCGATCATCACATGGTGTCTCGGCACGATGAACTTTCACAACGGTGCATACTCAGGGAGAACACTTGTACCTTGAAATTTAGTGAGAGATCATCTTATAATGCTACCATCGAACTATGCAAAATAAGATGCATAAAGGATAAACATCACATGCAATCAATATAAGTGATATGATATGGCCATCACCATCTTGTGCCTGTGATCTCCATCTCCAAAGCACCGTCATCATCACCATCGTCACCGGCACAACACCTTGATCTCCATCGTAGCATCGTTGTCGTCTCGCCAACTATTGCTTCTACGACTATTGCTACCGCTTAGTGATAAAGTAAAGCAATTATAGGGCGATTGCATTGCATACAATAAAGCGACAACCATATGGCTCCTGCCAGTTGCCGATAACTTTGTTACAAAACATGATCATCTCATACAATAAAATTTAGCATCATGTCTTGACCATATCACATCACAACATGCCTTGCAAAAACAAGTTAGACGTCCTCTACTTTGTTGTTGCAAGTTTTACGTGGCTGCTACGGGCTGAGCAAGAACTGTTCTTACCTACGCATCAAAACCACAACGATAGTTTGTCAAGTTAGTGATATTTTAACCTTCACAAGGAACGGGCGTAGCCACACTCGGTTCAACTAAAGTTGGAGAAACTGACACCCGCCAGCCACCTGTGTGCAAAGAACGTCGGTAGAACCAGTCTCGCGTAAGCATACACGTAATGTCGGTCCGGACTGCTTCATCCAACAATACCGCCGAACCAAAGTGTGACATGCTGGTAAGCAGTATGACTTGTATCGCCCACAACTCACTTGTGTTCTAATCGTGCATATAACATCTATGCATAAACCTGGCTCGGATGCCACTGTTGGGGAACGTAGTAATTTCAAAATTTTCCTATGCACACGCAAGATCATGGTAATGCATAGCAATGAGAGGGGAGAGTGTTGTCCACGTACCCTCATAGACCGAAAGCGGAAGCGTTAGAACAACGCAGTTGATGTAGTCGTACGTCTTCACGATCCGACCGATCTAAGTACCAAACGCACGACACCTCTGAGTTCAGCACACGTTCAACTCGATGACGTCCCACAAACTCCGATCCAGCAGAGTTTCAAGGGGGAGTTCCGTCAGCACGACGGCGTGATGATGGTGATGATGTTGCTACCGACGCAGGGCTTCGCCTAAGCACCGCTACGATATTACCGAGGTGGATTATGGTGGAGGGGGCACCGCTCACGGCTAAGAGATCAATGATCTCCAAGGGGTGCCTCCCTCCCTGTATATAAAGGAGTGGAGGAGGGGGAGGGGGCCAGCCCCCTATGGCGTGCCCCATGAGGAGTCCTACTCCCACCCCTTCCAAGTAGGAGTAGGAGAGGAGAGGGGAGGGGGAGAGGAAGAGAAGGAAAGGGGGGCGCCCCCCCCCTCCTTGTCCAATTCGAACTAGAGGGGGAGGGGGCGCGCGGCTGCCCTGGCCGCCCCTCCTCTTCTCCCACTAAGGCCCAATAAAATCCCCGGGGGTTCTGGTAACCCCCCGGTACTCCGATATATGTCTGAAACCTCCCAAAACACTTTCGGTGTCCGAACATAGTCGTCCAATATAACGATCTTTACGTCTCGACCATTTCGAGACTCCTCATCATGTCTGTGGTCATATCTGGGACTCCGAACTAACTTTGGTACATCAAAACACAAAAACTCATAATACCGATCGTCACCGAACTTTAAGCGTGCTGACCCTACGGGTTCGAGAACTATGTAGACATGACCAAGACATGTCTCCGGTCAATAACCAATAGCGGAACCTGGATGCTTATATTGGCTCCCACATATTCTACGAAGATCTTTATCGGTCAAACCACATAACAACATACGTTGTTCCCTTCGTCATCGGTATGTTACTTGCCCGAGATTCGATCGTCGGTATCTCAATACCTAGTTCGATCTCATTACCGGCAAGTCTCTTTACTCGTTCCGTAATACATCATCCCGCAACTAACTCATTAGTTACAATCCTAATCTCGATCTATGCCAACTCAACAAGTACCTTTGGAGACACCTATAGAGCACCTTTATAATCACCCAGTTACGTTGTGATGTTTGGTAGCACACAAAGTGTTCCTCCGGTATTCGGGAGTTGCATAATCTCATAGTCATAGGAACATGTATAAGTCATGAAGAAAGCAATAGCAACAAACTAAACGATAAAGTGCTAAGCTAACGGAATGGGTCAAGTCAATCACATCATTCTCTAATGATGTGATCCCGTTTATCAAATGACAACGCATGTCTATGGTTAGGAAACATAACCATCTTTGATCAACGAGCTAGTCAAGTACAGGCATACTAGTGACACTCTGTTTGTCTATGTATTCACACATGTATTATGTTTCCAGTTAATACGATTCTAGCATGAATAATAAACATTTATCATGAAATAAGGAAATAAATAATAACTTTATTATTGCCTCTAGGGCATACTTCAGTGGGGCGTGCCCGGCCGCACCCTCGAGGCCGTTCTCGACCACATCGAGACCGGCAACACGCCGCGCCCGTCATTCTCTCGCCGTCGTGCCAGCTCCTGGAAGCCGTGGCGAATGGAGCCAGGGACCTCCTCATCATCGGGCTTCGGCTCGCTCTCCTCCGGCTCGCCGGCGGTACGCCCCGTCAAGCCGGAGCCGAAGGAGGCACCGCTTCGGCGCCGCACCCGCAGCGGCGCCCTCGTCATCAACGAGGGCGGCCGCCCCTCCCCGCGCTCCCTCCGGCTGGTCAGGCCGAAGCCCGAGCCGGGACTGCTCCCTGTGAAGCCAGAGCACGCGGACATGATGGCCCCTGACGACGAGGCCGCCCTCAAGTGGACGAGGGAGGACTACGTCCGCAAGCAGGTGCTCCGCCAGTGTCGGGCATACGCGGAGCTCCAGGCCCGGCGCCGCGGACACGAGGAGGGTGGCGTCATCGTCCTCGACAGCGACGACGAGGGCGAGGTCGGGCCGTCCAGCCCCCCACCGCGCATTGGCGACCCTGGCCATTGGTGCAGTAGGGACGGCGGCGGCTTCGGCGGGGCGCGCGACGATGAGGCGGCGGCGGCGACTACACCCTTTCTACAGGCTCCTCGGCATGTAGATGGCAGGCGGCGGCCGCAGCGTAGCAGGGCTAGGCGTAGTTTGCATGTTTATCTGTTTTTGTACAAATTTCTATGAATTGTCGCCGAGTTTATGTCAGATCACCGAGTTTGTACAAATTTCTATGAAATATCGCCCACTTCGCGCGATTTTGGCGACGACCTGGGGGCGTCAACTGGGAATACAATCGCCCACACGCGCCAAGCAAACACCGGTTCGTCCCAGACGGCTTTTTTTCGGCGTCCTGGAGGACGAACGGCTGGAGATGCTCTGAGGCCCTTTGCATCTTCGCTGAGAGTGCACTCCCAATGCAAACGAAGCGTAACCTTGGTGCAGTGCAGTTGGCTAGGAGTATCTCGATTTTGGCCGTCGCAAGAAAATGTCAGGCTATTTCTGCTGACACGGGCGAGGCGCACGAAAAGGAGAACGTGTACGACGCTTGGCCACTGAGGCAGTGACGACGACCAACTGGCAGTTTACGTTGGAGCTGCCAGTCACGCCACTACGCTCGCGACTGTCGAGACGTCCGCAGTTTGCTACGGTAGGTTCACTTGGTCTCGCTCGGGTCGCGGTGCAAAAAGCTTGTGCATGGACTGGGTGGATCGATTTGCTACGGCTCTCACCGATCTACTCCACTTGCCAAAAAAGCTTGTATCCGTCTTGCTTTGACGCTCGCCTGCTCTGGGGAAGTTGAGTAGCATGCATGGTGGTCCGTAAAACCTTGTAACTCGTAACTCATTTATACGTGTAACATTACTCGTAACTCGATTTGCTACGGCCCTTCCCACCTATTGACCAATCAGATTAACCCTTTTTGTAAAACCTTGTAACTCGTTTGTACATGTAGCATTACTCATTATAATCCAATCAGATTAATCCAATCTTGGCAGCTGCATTGCATAATTACATTGCCATTCTGAGCATTTGTGTAGCTGTGAGTGATGTGTGTGATGTGTGCGAGAGAGAGAGAGAGAGGGGGGTGGAGAGGACAGAGAGAGAGGCCACGAAGCTTGGCGGAAGCTTCGTCCATACCGCGTTTCACTTGTCACCGATGTTTATCCGAGCAAAGAAAAAACTCTCACTGGGAAACCTCTACTCGCTTCTCTGCTGGCTACCCTGCTATATATGGCCCCATTCATCGATCGCACGCAAGGCACCGCCACAAGGCTCCTCATCTCCTCCTTCTTCATCTCTCTCTCTCTTTCGGTGCTAGCTGCAGCATGAGCGATCTCCCGCCGGCGGTGGCGATGGGGGGCGAGCGGGACATCGAGCTGGGCCTTCCCACCACCAACACCACATCAGGCTACACGCGTCAGCACATTCTCGAAGACATCCGCCAGTTCTCGACGCTGCTGGGCAGCACGCCCACGATGCTTCACAAGCTCAAGGTAAGAGAAACGCTCATGCCCATCCTTTGCTCCACGGCCCACAACGTGTTTGTTTTCCATGAGAAAATTGGCCTTTTTCCTCGCTCTTACTTTGCACAATGCTCTTCTTTCTCCCCACCTCCAGAAAGCCAACGAGGAGTTGAAATCGGCCGCTGAATCTGCTGCAGTGAAAGGTGCAAACTCCAGCCGTTATCCTGCATTTCATTTCTAAGCGCGTGGCTTATCTAACTGGTGCATTCTTATGACAAACCTTGCAGAAATCAGGGGGCGCATGGAGAAAGACATGGACGAGGCGGCGAAGATGGCACGGATCATGAAAGAGAAGCTAAGCAGAATCTTCCCAAGGTGTGCTGGTTCCAGTTCTGAACAATATGTCAACCGGTCATGCTGCATATCCAGGGACCCTGGATCCGTCAACACTGTCCATCATCACGTAAGATCTTGATCCATTTATCTGTCTAGCTTAATCATCTAGAGTATGTTAACTGCTAGTTGTTAGTTCAAATTCGTTTGGTGTGATCAATTAAAAACAGTTCATACAGCCCTTTCAGCAAAAAGGGTGAAATTTGACAAGCGTTTTGGTCATTGCAGGGCACTGAAGATGAAGCTTAAGGAAAGAAAGAAAGATCTTAAGGTGTGCTTATCTAACTCGATATCCATCTTATCCTGTGTGCCAAATCAAATTAAAGATCTTTCGGTGTAGCAATCTAACCCGCACCTGTTGCAGAATCTGGGAAAAGCTATCCAAGAAGAGTACATAGAAGTGGTTCAGAGCAGGATTTTCACAGGTGAGGAACTGAACTTGGTTCAACTTTCTTCATTTTGCTTTCTGGTTGCTCAGAACTTGTGTATGAATGGCCTTGCGCTGCGTTACCCTTTTTTGTGAGAACTCTGAACTTTGTGCTTGCCGTGGACAGTCACCTGAGTAAAGCTCTCTGATGAGGTAAGCATCATGCTACCTGTACTACTGCACTAGGTACTCCCATCTCACTGCCATGGCACAAAACATAAGCAGGTGATTCGCGTGATCGACACCAGCAGCATCATGCAGATCTTTGAGCACAGAGTTCATGGAATAGGTCCAGAGCAGGTCCGTTTTCCATTTCACTAGTTAGTTAGTAGTAGTAATAATTCTAATCACTCAGCTAACGACTCGATTTCGTCTTGGGAAAACTTGCGCTTGCTTTGTTGCACAGGCCAGCGCCATAGGGGAGGAAATCAAGGAGCGGCGTGCTGCAGCCATGGATCTCGGCAAGAAGGCTGTTGAGGTGCAAAAGGTAAGCAGCAGTCTTCTTGGTTATACTAGACCGCATGCAGCAGCTTTCGCCAAATGTGTTTTTTTTTAGGGGGAAATGTGTTTTTGTTTTGTTTGCGCGAAAGGTTGCCTGATGTTTACTTGGCGGCAACTGTGTTTCGTTGGCAGAATTTCAGGGAGATGCTGGCGCTTGTCAAGGCGCAGGAGAAAATAGTCAAGGCACTGAGTCAGGTCGATCCGTGGCTCCCTTCTCATTTCGCCTGCCAGTCTCATTTACCTGATCGATATATGTTTGTGGATGTGCCTGGGAGCTAAGCTAATGCTTGGTGCTGAAAAATGAAAATGTGGTGCCAGGTCCGTCAGAGTGCTGAGGCCCGTGCACGATCTATTGCGGAGAATCTGGCCCGTGCACGATCTAGGGTCGAGGAGCTGCGCCAGGAGATGGAGGAGACAAAGCTGCTCATCGCACTGGTTGTGATCCTCTTCTTGTTGTGCATCGTCGCGGTTACCCACGGAATCTCCGGCGACCACTTACGGAGTAGTACTTGTTCCTACCTAGTACTTCCATTGCATGGCACGCAACTGGGATTTTAGAACAATTTTATATCGTGGCATGGCAGCAGTGACTTGTTTCGTGACTTTCGTGGGAGTGGTATGCTAGTAGAACTTCTGGGATTGCTGTAATAATGTCCAATCATGTGTGTGCGCGGGCGTTGTTTCCTCGACCGTGTGGAGATGCTTTCCTCGACCGTGTTTCCCAACACGTAGTATTTGCTTAGTTGTGTGGAGATGCTTTTCTCGACCGTGTTTCCCAACACGCATTTGCTTAGTTGTGTGGAGATGTTTACACTAACATTTTACTATGTTGCAAGAGCCACACTATAGAGAAAACCAAGTGTAAATTATCGAGGGGTAGGTTATATGTCGAATGCGTGAAAAAAGAAAATAAACTCGGCAACTAGGGTACGCTCGGCAAACAAAGGTGTGTGCCGAGTAGTACTACCCGAAAAACACAAAGGACTCCGGCAGAAAAAAATAACTCCACAAAGAATGAGTTCTTAAAAAAGAAAAGAACACGGGTCCTTGTTTCTTTTTTGCTCTTTGTTTTTTTAATGCGTAAAATATTTTTGATGCTTTCCCTTTTAATTGTGTTTCTTTATTCTATCCTCTTTCTCCCACCTTTTCTTCTCGTCTGTTTCTACTCGCTCTCTTTGCCGCCCATTTTTCATCAATGTTTCATTATTATGTTTTTTCCTTTTAAACTTTTGTTTGTTTTTTTATTGCATTTTATTTCTTTCCCCCTCTCTTACTCACTCATTCTCTCTTTAAAGTTTTCACCATTGCTTCTATCCCCTCAATTTTCTGCTCTCTCTTACTGCCACTTAGCCACTTCAAAGTAATGGTATTGCCTTCATACCACCATAGCGTATCCATATTAGGACCCCATGCAAAGGGAGAAGTGGTTCCGACCCTTAGGGCAACTCCAACGCGGGGACACATTTCGTTTGCTCGCGTTCATTTCTGCCCGCGTGGACAGAAACCGCACCCTAATGCGGCGACACATTTTGCGTTTGTCTGTTTATGTCTGCGCGGACCCATTTCCTGCTCATATTTGGGTTGGGTATGTGTCACCACGGATAGGAGACAGACGCGTCGCATGTCTGCCGGGCTCACCTGGCAGCCGCCCAACGACCAGCTCCTGGTCCTTTTAAATGCCGCACTTGTTGGGGGGGGGGGAGGGCTTCCGCACCCACTACTTTCCCACGCTCCGCTCCCCCGCCACCAAAAGTAAAACCCTACGCCACCGATGCAATGTCGTGGAAGTTTGTCCTCGAGAAGCGTGGCCACAAGGTCGGTTCCTCCTTCGGGCAGCGCCTTGTGGCACCATTCACCTTGATGCTGTCGGGGGCTTCTTCGCCGTGCCAGGACCGCAGGTACATCCCTGTCGAGACATGCTAGAGGTATTGGGAGGCGGCCATCCCAGTGCCACTACTAGGGAAAACCCTAGCAGTAGCGCGGGTTTTAGACCTATCAGTAGCGCGGCGTTATGCGCTACTAATAAGGCGCTACAGCTAACGAATAGCAGTAGCGTGCCTCCACCCACGCTACTGCTAAATCGACTTAGTAGTAGCGAGTTTCAGAAGGAGCGCTACTGGTAATTAGTAGTAGCGCTTCTCCCTGCCCGCGCTGCTACTATTATTTCGTATTTTATTTCTTTTTTATTTCATGTTGTATTCGTACACCTTTATACAAGTTTTCATATATCAGGAATTTAGAAAAAAAATTACATCATAATGAGTTATTACATCACGGGGTGAAACTAATCTCCGGTTCTTTCACCCAATGATATAATAAATATCATCATCATATCATTAACAACTTATCATCATAATACATCATTGTCATATAACACCTCCTCAAGATCATCATTTTCATCAATGAGACATCACATAGCAAATTGGTCACTAGTCGTAATCACAAGTACTCCTCACATCATCAACTCTAACACATTGTATCACATAATAAACATATTGTACCTCATAGGACCTACTACATTCTCTTAGGACCTACTATATTCTCTAAGGTAAAATAGCAAAAAACAAGATAGCCCCTGACTCTCCATTACGGAGAATGGAGATTATCCTGTCTCCAATTCTTGCCTTTCGCTTAATGTTACTTCCAAGCACCTCCTTGCGAATGTCCAAACATTTTTTCCATTCTTTGATTAGCATGTGTTCACCGCTTTTAGAAATCCGATATGCACAGGTGAGCTCCTTAGATTCACCTGGCTGTATGTTCATAACTGCAAGGCGACCATTCTGATACATCAGATGAGGCACACAATCCATCGGGATTTTCTGTTGAAAAACATAGTAATAACTTCGTAGTTAGCAATGATGTACTAGTTTTAGAAGTATGCAAAAGATGCACGGATGTCGTAATAGTAAAAAATCTTACCAGGGTATCTCCATTGAAGTTACCGTGGTTCAACACGTGCACTAGTGGCACGTATTCACCATAATTTGGAGGAGTTCGATAATAGGTATTGTAATTCTCAAGAAAAGTACAATAAGCAATCAGATGACTTTTCTCCTTATAAGTTAATTCGGAGCCATCAGTGTAGTGGGTTTTGTCTACCATCTTCTGCACATTCTTTGAAGATTCAAAATAAGCTGTCAATGGAAATAAGTTGTCAACTATTTTTAAATAAACAATATAAATTAGTTAATAACTATGTTTGAGAAACTCACATTGCGGTAGAATCGGAAGCGTATCAACAAGGACCCAAATGTCCATATTGTCTTGCTCGATGTCAGGAGTACCAAGATCCATGGTGACAATCATACCCTCATAAAAATCATACATTTTACAAAATGCTTCACAATTTTGGCAACCAAAATGGGTTACGCTCTGAGAATTGTACAGATTTACTTCAAAATCGATATCATGATGGGTTCTTAGGTGTATTTTCTTTGTTTCATAATTTACATGCTCTTCAAAACCCATCCTCTTCAAGACATAGTGTCTTGCATGGCATGGGATAAGCTAGTCGAATTGTAAAAGATGAAAATTAGACATTGAAATAGTTGAAGTCATGCTTAATTACGAAAAAAAACACTTGTCGTTGTTGCGTACCGTTTCAACATCGAAGGTCTCCTCGAGCTTAATGCTGAAGCGCCGATCTTCATCCAGCTCAACGAACCTGTCGCACATACCTCGATCATCGTGGCACCAGCTGCACTCCCCCGGGAGACTGTCGTCGTCCGAGTACGACATTTCCTACGTTCATAATTCAAAGATTAAACTTGTACATATTCTAGCACAAGTCATGCCAGAATTCACGGAAAAATCCGGCATGACCTTTGCTAAAAAAGGACATATCGAGCGCCTGGAATTTGCCGGAACGGAAATTAATCAATATTCTGGCAAAACATAGGCCACTCGGAGGTGTAACCAAAACATGAAATAATTGCTTAAACTAAAAAATAACAACAAATATGGCACGTTCAACTAGTTCTATTAATTCAACTAGTTCTTACTAAATATAAACTTAGTATAAAAAGAAAAAAAATTAGTTCTTTCTAAAAATGAAATAGTTCAACTAGTTATTAATTTACTTACTATACTAGTTCAACTAAAACTTAACTAGTTCAACTAAAACTAAACTAGTTCTATTAACTCAACTCGTTCTTACTAAATATAAACTTACTATAAATAGAAAGAAACTAGCACATCTACTACTACTAATTAACATCTAACTACTACATCTACTACTAATTAACATCTACTACTGCTAATTATACAACTAGTTTACCATCACTACTAGTAATTAATATCCACTACTTCTAAAAATCATTATCTATGAACCCTAAATTAACATCTACTACTACTAAAATCATCTACTAACTAAGCAAAGAGAGAGGGGGTGGGGG